GACACATATAGAAATACACATATCTGTGTATACTAATAAAATATATTAGTTAAATTTCTTGTATAATTAGCAAGTTACTTAAGAGAATAAACTGTCTCCAAATTTTTACAAAACGTTAAAATAAATGAGACGCTTTCATTTGACAGTATCCATATGAACAAATTTTCTTGGACAACTGATCGTAAATTTGGCAGTTTGTTCAAGGAAATTTTCTCGTACATTATACGAGTATACTACGTTGCTCTGAACTGATAATGTTAAGATAATTTTCATATGCAAAACATGATTTTAAATTTAGAAAATAAATTAATTTTCCCGTGTTCTTCCTCTATATATTTATTAGCAAAACAAAGGATATGCGGTATCATCCCATGACACAAAATCAGTACATGCACAGCAAAAAACTGGCTTGAGCGGAATTCTTTGCAAAAATAATTTGGATAGATTTTGTTAGATGTAACACCACCTAACTTGATTAAATTGTACTACTTCCAATTTATTTAAATGTGTGTTTAAGTACATACTTTAAATTTAGTTTTGCTTTAATTATTCATATATTAATATAAGATCTTAATTCAATTTTTTTCTTGCTGAAGGAGACTACGTTTGAATTGTCCTCTACATCATCTTTATTTTTATATTCGCTGTTTGGATTATGTAAGCATGGTAAAAGATTGGATGGCGCGGCGTTTTCAAGTCGATGACAGTATGTAAACATGTGAGTAATAAAATCTATAAAAAGGAAATATACGAATACAATACAATAAAATAATTTTATTGTCAATCAAAGACGCCCTAGAAGGGCAGTATAACTACAAACAATATATTACAATGACTATTATTAATTCTTAATGATGTATATATAGTGACAAAATATAGAATAGAAAAAAAAAAATAAACACAAAAAAAAAACAAAAACAAAAACAAACAAACAAAACCCAGATATCTATATATAGATAAAGTGATGAATTGAAACCGTTATTACCTTTTATTAATTTTCTTATATGTTACCAGCATACGGATTCTACTTAACTTTTCTTTATATATATATATATATATATAACCAGAGACATATAAATACATGTCTCTGATATAACATACATAAATGTTGAGGCATATATTTAACTGTCTATGGATATAGTGCCATAAATTTGATGCCACAATATAAGAGCTGTTTCTTTTAAATTTGGCCTAAGAATGATTCACTGGGTCAGTAAACAGGCATCATTTTACATTTTTAACATAATATCCCTTTCAGTCCAGAGACTGATTATCAAATCACATAAGCGTTTTAGAATTTTAGATTCTCACAACCCATTAACCATATAAACATATTTTCGGTATTACATTTCTTTAAAATACCAAGATCAGGAAAATATCCTTCTGACGTATATAATAAAGAGTATATGATATGTCGTTTCAATATCACACACCGTATTAACCCTCAACCAATATAATCCCTTGAGTAGAGCTCTTGTGATTATACTGATGTCTAGGGTGCGATATTGAAAATAATATTATGATATTCTCTATATATAATTACGCACAGTAAAATTCGCGTTAAAATCAAAAATGTATCTGCTTTAATCATGTTAATGAAAAAGTAGAAATTCCTCTCGCTTTTAAGCACCAACTCTTGGTGTCGTCTGCCGCCGATTATTGTCACTACATTTCCCGGGTACACTTCAGCCAAAATCAATCTCAAACATCAATATTAGTTTTATTACAAATCAAATAAAAGAGGTAGTGTCAATTTCCCATGAATTTCACACCAATGTCATTTCAAAACGTCTTTCAATTTTATACTTAAATTCACAGTATCGCCCGGGTGTGTACTTTGAGTTTATAACAATATTTTGCTTAGGGAGCTACCATTTGATTTTTAGGGGGGGGGGCTAGGATGAAATTTGAAAAAAATTAGGCAGGACAGTTTTGAGTAAAAAAAAGGCAGGATGAGACACTTTGCAAAAAAAAGGCAGGATGACAATTTATGTAAAAAAAGGCAGGATAAACTAAAAAAAAAAAAGGCAGGACCGAATAGAGTGAAAAATAAAATGGCAGGACAGAGATTACAACTAAAAAAAATGCAGGACAAAATTTTCCATCCTAGACCCCCCCCCCATTTAGAACTTTATTTATCGCAATTAAATATTTTTTTAGTCTCATGTTTTTATGATAATTATCATTGTAATCACTTGACTTAGTTTTGGTGGGATTCGTGTTGCTTAGTCTTTATTTTTGTATGTCGTGTTATGTGCAGTGGCGGATCCAGAGGGGGGCGTAGAGGGCGTGCGCCCCCCCCCCCCTTTTGCTTGAACTTTTTTTTTTTGTAAAATGATGAATCAGACTAGACTTCGTGAACTTTGCCATTTCCCGGTCGTGTATTTAATTTTTATGCGACAGTTCTTTACTTATAAAGATATTTTTCGCTCGTATTTACTGTACTATATTTTTGATTTATATGTCAGTCATGTGTTTCGCTACGGTGGAGTTGATCAGTACGTTTGAAACGTCACTCAGTCATTTTGAAATTAAAATTACAGTAACACATTGCTTAGGCGGAGGATGACCAGCATGACACCTTCAAAGCGACAAAGGATTGAGCAAGAACGTATTGACTTCTATTTCATATTTCCACTCAACAGAAAGTAATTCTCTATTACACTCTCATGAAAAAAAAGTTCCACGACAATATTATTTACCTACGAAAATATATTTAACCCCACACGCCCCAGCCAATTAAAAACATTGCTGAATAATATTATGATCCCCAGTCAGTAAGCTCTAGATATATTTAAAGTCTAAGGTACGGACCATTTGATTTGAATGGGCAGTCTGAGATATTTTAGAGAAAAAATTCTGACCCTGATTTTTGCCTTAAAAAACAAAAATTCTGGCCGTATCTGTAATGAACACAATTATCGTGTCCCCTTTTTTGCTATAAGAAAAAAAAAACCAACAGAATTAATCAGCATTAAATGAACATGGTGAATAAAAAACGGGCGTAATTTTTTTTTTTGGGGGGGGGGGGGGGGAGTTGCATGTAAATCCCATATCTGACCGGAATGTCTGTTTCGCCGAACTGATATAGTGAATACTTTTTTTCAAGACCCAACTGCAACCTGCCTGCTGGGTGTGGCCTTTATGGCTCCATTTGTCGACCGTCATTCACAACTTCGTTGTCATTTGATTTTCAGACTCATTCGTAGCCTTTAGTTGATTTTGAACCCCTCACTTCCCTTGTTGAATGAAACATTTCAACCAAACATTTGGATAAAAATTGCTTGTTTGTCTATGTTCGTGTCGATCGTAATACCATTATAAACTTTATTGAATAGCCGTATATCATGTTTACAACAAGTAATCTGTGAGGTTATGCTAACTAACCATACAACAAACGAGAATTTTCCATGTCCATTTTTTACTGACAAATCCCACATCAAAAATATTAGTACATAGCTTTAGATCCATTCAATCATTTTATAATAGACAATTAATGGGGAGAATGCGGCATCAAAAATAAACAACCCAAGCTTACACTTCAACTATAAAATATACATACCCCGTGTGAGGAACCGTCACTAAAAATGTGCATTTTACACTTATTTTATGTTTTGTTAGCCCAAAAAAGGTCTAAAAAAAATTTCACCTCGCTCCGCTCGGCAAATTTAACATACTACGCCCCCCCTTTCCAAAATCCTGGATCCGCCCCTGATGTGTACTATTGTTTGTCTTTTTAAACGTCTTTTTTTTAGTGGCATGGTGTTGTCAGTTTATTTTCGACTTGTGAGTTTAAATGTCCCTTTGGTATCTGTTGCCTCTCTTTTGTACCATAGACGCCATAGATGTATAAACCATATTTCTGTGTTTGTACTAGGATGTAAATGTATCTTGCCTGACAAGGGCCCATGATTGTTTTATGAAAATGTCCATTATCTATCGGATAAAATTATTTCATCTTGGTTGGGGACTTCCTTCAATGCTAAAATTTTCTAAATCATATTAAATAGCGTCAAAATGCTTTCAACAACTACATGTAGCTCTGAATAGAAGAGTGAATTCATGAAAATGCTGCGGAAACAATTAGTGCGTATACTCTTTCTATCGCTAATGGCAGACGTCTACTCAAGTAATGGACTTCTTTCAATGGGTATTCACTGATTCTGAATTTACAAACTTACGATCAAAATCTGATATCTGCATATAGCCAAGGATTTTCCTAGTATAATTAAAGTTATCAAAATCCTTGGCCTTAATTATCAATCGTCTTAACTGACGTAATATCATTTTTTTGTTACAAGAATGCACAATGTTCACTTGAGAAAAATGGCTCAGTACAAATTAATGAACACAGAAATGAAAAAAAAATCCCCTTTCCATCCAGACTGAGACTACTATAAAACAGATACAGACCCTCAAACTAACAACCTACATAACTGATTTGTGACATAAAAAGACCAGTTAAATCGAATTTCAAATACTTATCAAACAAAAACAGCACCATAAAGAAAATATTAATAAATTCCAGTTATCAATTAGTTGTTTCTGCTAATCTTACATGCCGACGTTACAAGTTAATTGGTTTTGAGGGCACCTGCAGATAAATTATTTGTTGCATTTATCTCCCTTTTTCTAATGTAGATTTTTTTTTTTAAATATAGTTTTGAATGCATAAATGTATATATTTATATATTTTACAGTCGTAATCTATGAAACACTTCTTTGTTACACATTTGTCAATAAATGGTGCTTTGGATATTTAACTTAAGTCGATAGATCAAACAAAACATTGTGTATTGCAAACTATGTCAATGATTAGTGGGTCAGTAGGTTTTCTACACACAAGGTTGACCTTTGACATAGCTTTATCAGGTTAGAATATTTTCGTATCTTCATAAAAATGGAAACATTCGCACAGTTGGATATTGTTTAAATATCATGATTTAGCCAGAAGTGTCGAATAAATATATTTTAGTGTAAAGGGCAGAAGATTTTATAAATCTCCCCACAATGATTGGTCAGCGGAAGGATATCAAATCAGGAAGCCGCCATAGCGAATAGCGACATACAAAATGTAAACTGAAATTTGTGTCATTTATTGAATTTTGTCGTTTTGTTTACATGTAATAATGTATTGTTTCCATCAATGAATTTATTTTTGTTTAGAAAATGCAGTGACAAGGATATTACCATACGCTGAAAGTGTCGAAAGACCTGTTGACAATTTTTCTTGATTTCAACTGTTTTTGTGAAAATGGATTTTTTAAAAGGTCTTGTCAGTAAAAACAAGAGACGGCACAAAGTTGACGGATTTGATCTAGATCTCACATGTATCCTTTTTACAGCAAAGAGTTTGTAAAAGGTATGAAGTGTATCACACAAAGTTATGCAACTAAATACATGTATACTGCCCCCATTTTTTCCTACTGTGTGAAAAAATGAACAAACAAGGGCCAACAAACATATGCTTTATTGTCATTGATATCTAACGGGGTCCACCAGGAGTTATTTATACAGATTTCTATTAACAATCAACTGAACAATTAGTAGATCTTATCGTTATTTTAGATTCTGAAAAACCTGACGAATAGGTTGAGGATCCTCATATAATAGACCTCATCATGTTTCCTTTTGCCTATATTGCCCAGCACAGTCGCTCCATAATTTTTGGTATCACAGCTATGAGACCTGAGCTGAACTTATATTAGTGACATCACAATGTCAGAGGAGAATTTGTCCATAATGTAACATTGTGACGAGATGTTATCATGCTTACTTTTGTAATGGTAAAGGGGTGGTAAAAAGACATGTAATAGCATGATAAACAGATTAGCAGGTTTTCTGTGCATAGATGTGACCCAAAAAAATAGTTGTGCTTCAGGTAGCCCGACTGACATAAACTTTTTTTCTGAAAAAAAAATTGATAAATAAAAAATTGGTACATGTACATGTAATTTCGCTTTGTTTAAAATAAAAGCTGTTCTTCTTGCGTGTCTCAAAATTGTCGCGGTGTAATTAGCGTTATTTGTTAAAGCGTTTTTTTGTGACCATGATTGATAAAACAAAGCCTGGCTTATATAACTAGTTAAATGCAGAACCATAGTGTGCTCGCAGTTCGGTAGATGAAATGTAACAATAAACCTGATATACAAACGTCCAAGACAGTTTACACTCAAAAAAATTTGAAACAACTGTTTAAAGAATGATGAGATTGATGAAAAAAAGGAAAAAGAAAAAAAACCTGATCTACCGACCATATTTGTTTGGGGCATGCAACAGGAAAACCCCTATTTTTGTTTTGGCCTATCACAAAAAATCAACCCCTCGACACAATGTGAAGCTTTTTTGCTTGTTTGCTATGCTCACTCACCATAAAAGTTCACATTGTGGCTGATATTTTACGATATCAATGTGTAGAAATCCTGATAATCTATACTTATCACTATTTCTGAATCTGCCAAACTTGACCCCAGATTTCAGGACACTTGAACTATTAATGTCATACAGCAATCACTTTGGCATTGACTTTTTTCTTATAACATTAAAATTTTATGGGCATCATTGTGATGACTAGTAATGACGGAGAAATAGCGATAAAGTGTTTTGGGTAGTGTTAAAGGGACAGAAAACGTGACAGAAAGTTGCAAAATTGATAGGATAAAAAGTCACAATTAATTAACAATTATTAGGATATATATTAGAAAAAACTTGCAATACTATCTTTTTATAAGATAAACTAATTTTACAGGTTAGGAAATTGTTCATTAGTAATTTTATCAAATTTCAAAATTTTTTGTTGGCACCATGTAACTAGTACTGTCTGTGCAAGAGGTCATTGGTTCGACAGTCATGACAGATTATATTCATGGAGGACCGCCAAATCATTTGTTTTTATTTGTCCAATTGTCCATAGATGTATCATCCAGGTTCAGGGACAGTTTATAGGAAAACGTGTGATGCCACAGCCTACAGTTGTCTTAAATTAGTTTACAGGTGTCCTAAATTAGTTTAATTATATGCTTATCTGAATTCCCTCACGTTAATACCATGCTTAAATTCATTTTATATTCATTAAAAAGACTACAATTACAAATTACCTTTTCATTGACTAATTTCGATATCACCACATTTCACCGTTATAGCAGTGACTAAAACCACGAGTTTCAGAATAAGTTTATTCCATAGCTTGCATACATGTATGAGTCTTTCATGGCAATTGTATTTCATTCACTGTACAATCTGTTTTTGAAGTAATGATGGCGGTAGCAAGATATGGGTAATTAACAAAATTAATTCCAATTGTAAGGTTGTTTTAAGTAATTTTTTCAGAATTTTATTTATTTGATTTTTACAGAAAAAAAAATCAACAGATGTACAAAATGTACATGTAGCTGTCAAAGCATAAAAAGAAGTCCCTGCTAGGAAGTCATGAATTTGTAAAATTTTAGGAATCCATAGGTATCGTGTTCAGTATACATATCAGAAGTTTTAAAATTCAATGAATAACATAGAAAGTCAATGTAATATATCGTTGAAAAAGAAATTCAAGCCATTGATTTTCAGTCCTCAGAATCAACATTTTTCGACTTCGACTGCCATTGACAAATTTTCAGCTCCGTATGAATTTACGAAAGCCTAGTTTACCTGGCTATAGAAATAATCTTACCTGATCATAAGGCCCTGATAAAATACATTGAAATATAACAAAAACAAAGAAGTACAAAATAATCAAACTAACACACACATAAGAAAATAGTTATGAGAAATTTTAATGAAAATATACCATTTTAAATAGGGTATAAATATATTGACCGTGTTGACCATTACTATACTTGCATGTATTTTGTCAAATTGATTTTAATAAGGAATGAGCATTGTAGAGAAGGTTTTGAGTGACGTAATTTTCAAATTGAAAGAAAATTGTCTTCAATGTAATTTTCCCTGTTTAACATGTTTTCTGTTCATTTTCTGTTGAAATTTACACACCATAAGCAATTGTATGCCTTAAAAAAGTCATCAAATTTTCAAGGACGTGATGGTCATTCCTCAAATATAAGGATTTTTTTTGTGAATTTTATTCCTGTTGAACATGTTGAAATTTGCAACATTATTAGCATATGCTTTTGAATGGTCTTCTTCAGAAAAAATGAGCCGAAAAAACATAGTCAAATTTTATTCTAATAGTCAAGAGTTCTCGAAAAATGGTGGTCCGAAGGTTTTGACCACCAAAATTTTGTAAAGGACTGACACAATTTTGATATTTTGCATTAGAAATAATAGTGAGGACCAGTTAATTTTCTTCAAGGACAATCAGGGAAAAACATTTTTCAAAACTCTGAATTTAATGCTAAAATTTGTAAAACTTTTTAGTTTTAGTAAGCTTAACATACATACTTAAGACATTTGCATGATTAGGCAACTATTTGAAAAAAGTTAGACGAAAGTGAAATCACACTTGGCAGTACTTGCAATTGCAAGAAAAATATATTTCTGAAATTGTTTAGTCTAGAATTAAATTTTATACCAGTAATTTATGTATGTATGCCCAATACACTAAAGTAACCTCTCTATTGATCAGCATGATGTTCTATTGTTGTTGCTATAAATAGATTAATCAAAGGAGTATTTCATTGACCTATGAAGTTTATCTGATTGATTCAACATCTTATGATTAGCTATCAGAATTTCATGACCTGCCTCTGGCAAATGTCTGGTAGGAAGATGTGGAGGGGAGGTACAATGTACAACAATGTAGATTGTACATGTACAGTGTTTACACCTACAAAACAGGCTTCTCATTAGGCAAAACAAAAATATTTCTGTTTTAATACAGTTACCTGACAGACCCTACTTTTGAGCGCTGACCCTAAGTAATTTTATTTCCGTTGTAAAGTGAAAAACTGAACTTGTGTCAAAAGCGAAGTTAAGAGTTGCCAATAAAATAAATCAATTGCCTGATACATCTAAATGTTCACAATCGACTGAATCGTGAATATGACAGTTGTTTTAAGGAAACTCTTGACTTGTGTGATGGAAAAAACACTTTGCCCCCATTTTGATCCAACCAATAACCACGGAAAATAATCCAATCATAAAAAATACTGGTAAACTTGGCCCATGGACAACTCTGACCACAACAAGATGGGCCGCAAGACTAAAAATCATGTCGCAAAAAATAAACGAAAAAATAGAAGAAAACGGAAATACAGACTTGCTTACCCTACTTTTTATACGCCCGTTTACGGGACGTATTATGGTATACCATTGGCCGTCTGTCCGTCCGTCCGTCGTCAACATGTCGGACATTAACTCAAAAACGCTTTAACCAATATGCATAAAACTTTGGTGAATTGTTTATATCTATTGACCTGAGCTCCCTTTCGTATTTTATAAATTTCGGATTTACCGTTTTGTGAGTTTTTGGGTTTTATTCATTAAAAAAGGGGGGATTTTCAAGTTTGTGGACAATAACTCAAAAACAGTTTCACCAATTTGCAAGAAACTTTAGTGAATTGTTTATTTCTATTGACATGAGCTTCCTTTTGATTTTTATAAATTTTAGACTATATGTTTCCGATTTATGGGGTTTTATTCATTACAAAAAGGGGGATTTTCCAGTTTTCGGACAATAACTCAAAAATGCTTTCAGGACAATATCCTTAAAGTGCTTAGAGCAGTTTTCATTAAACTTTGATGACTGGTTTATATCTAATAAGATAACATCCCTTTAGTTTTTTATAAATTTCTGATATAACATTGAGAAGTTATTGTTTGTTTATAGTCTGACAACAGATTTACAAAGTATTGTGCAACAACACAGTGTATTGCACAACAGCAAGAAATCTTTGATTGAATATAAATTCAATTCATATAACCAATTTCAAGTTCTTTGACTACATTTATTCAGAAACCTATAATATGTCAAATATTTAATTACAATCCAAATTCAGACCTGTATCAAGCTTGGATATTGTGTCCATTTTTGCCCCAACTGTTCAGGGTTGGGCGTATCCAGCTGCGCTCAGCGAAGCAGTTTATTTTAATGATGTAACTTTACATAGACATATTTTTTTTTGGACTTGGAGACCTTTTCACATGAAGACCAGGGACCTCTGTGGTCGAGTTGAACTGCTGTATCACTAGCCTGTCAGCACTGAGGTTGTGAGTTCGATTCCTGCACGTTGCACGTGCGCTCGACTCTAATCTTAATTGACTAGGTTTTCAGTTTTACTGTTGAAGGTCTGACTGACTGCCACAAAATAGCACTATAGGGATGAAAATGGCGTTAAACACCAATCAATCAATCAATCACATGAAGTCATGAGCAACTCATGAGTTCTATAGAAACAATATTATTGTCTTAGCTCTAGAAAAACAAAATGAGCCAACACTTTTAAATTACACACCTTTTTTCAACTTTTCACCACAGAATACATCTAGATATGAAATATCCAAAACATTGCTCAAAAGAAGGTAATTAGCTAGATTTCAGGGTTTATTGAACATCATGCATGCAAGCCTTTGCCAAGACTCACAGTCTGTATTAATACAACTATTCTTGTATGCTCGTACATGTACATGTGTTATAGAGTTGTTCTACCAGTATCTGTCTACCCTTATCTTTATTATATATATTTCCCATGTTTACCGATAAAAGAAAAAAACAGCTTATAAATTTTGTGCGTCTCGAGTGCTTTTCTGGATTACCTTCATCAGCAGGATCAGGAATGCTCAAATCCAATCATTTGAAAGCCAAGCATGTATAAATACATGTACATATAAAAGTTAATGTTATATGACCAAAAGGTATCTATCTGTAGGATTAAAAGGAGATTTGGGGTAAGGGTCAATAAGACAGCAACCCAATGGCACAAATAACAAGAAAACATCTAGAGGGCTACTCTTATCACGATCAATTACCTTTTTTTGTTGAGGGGGGAGGGGGGGGGGGGGGTTGCTACAGTAAATGACAATTTGTATTATGGAAATGAGAAATGCCGATCGCGAGTACGTGTACCTCTACATGATTTACTCAGGCCAAGGATGTGAATTATGAGTAATACATTTGTAATATGGGCTGTACCTGATTTAAATTATCACTTTATGATAATACAGGAATATTCAATTATTCATAGATGTTAGTGAAGCGATTAAACAAATCAGAGTGCAATAATTTGTACATTAGTTGAAGGTAAATTGATTATGTCACAGAGCTAGTGTGCAATTGACATTAATGTTTTGGTTACATATATTTCATGTATTTGGAGAATGTGATGTTGATGGCATATATCTTTAAATTTCTCCATTTCTGTTAATATTTATTCACAATAATAAATCAACAACATTTTTAGACTTGTAACAATTTTGAGATTGACATATTGTGTAGATACCTGTCAATTGTTTGAAATTTTATATTGCTCTTCAGATGTTTTTGATTATTTGTATCTATGGGTTGCTGTCACATAGACTTTTATGCTTACCAGCGCTGCCGTCTCTAGGTAGCATGCTTGCCTTGAGTGTAGGAGGTTGTGGATTTGAATCTGGACTAGGTCAAATCAAAGACTTTGAATTTGTATTTGCTGCTTCTCCGCTAAGCAGGCGTCATTTAGGAGTAAGAGCAAAGACTATTTGACCTGGAGTTATTTCTGGTTAGGGGGACATGTATTCCTGTGGACTGTAATTACCTTCTGAACAAGCACTGTAAAAATCTGACTTAGTGTGTCTCATACACGTGCAGTGTTCATTATTCATATCAAATCAACACGTTCTCGTCCTGAATATTATTTAATTTGTCGCTAGATGTTTAACAACCATTCATTATCATCATCTGTGAATGAAATCCATTTTTCTGGTCTATTTCCAATTTTCTTTCAACAAAAAGTTTTGTAGATGTAGAGGAATGACTTTGAAAAAGTTTTTAAGTTTGTCGTGTAAAATGTACGAGAAACAAACATAGTTTTTATTTTGGCCTAAGCACTGATTCAGTGAATTTGAATTTCAATATAAAGGTGTAGTGTGTAGGTTCTCTTTAATGGTGATTACTTCTGAGAAATAAGTGCAAAACCAAAAATATTTATTAATGATGTCAAATAATAAAAAAAGATACATTAAAGCTATCGTTATTATATAAAGAGTTGAGGTCTTTGCCAAAAGCTTTATTTCTTGTTCATAGTGGTTTGGTTAATGATTATAGCCATGCTGCCTTTGGCATATCTTTGACCATTGTAGACTGTTGATGATTATACTTAGTAACAATCATTTTCTATGTAGAATTTTAAGAGATATAATTATTAATTTTCTGTAAAATTGCATCTTTGTTCTGAATGGCTTCTGCAGACACGTGCAATAAAGATTTCATTCATACTCAACTTCAAAGATGAGAAAATATGGTTAACGTAAAAATAATGAACATGATGAATGAAAAATAAAGGGTTTATGTAAACACAGCTTAATTAGATCTCTCAATGAGAAGACAGTACTCATATACATGTAAGCTAAGACATTTATTCAAAAAGGCAATTTATAAATGAACTTTTTAGGGTTAAAAATATATTACATTCAAGTTTCTATCCTATCAAGGTTACTTTAACCCATTTTTTGGGGTGATGTATTTAATACCAGTATTTGCAGTTCTTTTTAATTGTCATAATTATTAGAAAAAAACATTTTGAAATTGAAGAGGGGGATGACTCGCTTTTTGGGACCTGGAAGAAAGAAGGGGAAAAAATGAGAAGTGAAAAAAATTTACAAAAAAGCAGGGTTGGGAAATGATTATATACGTGCCATCCCCTCATTGAAGTCAATAATTTAAGAAAGCCATGGCCATTCATGGCCAATATTCTATTTAGTCTATGATATGTACAAGCTTAGATACCATTTTATCTCGTTAAGTACAGTTGAGCCAGCAAGAGCACTGTCCAATGCATTTAAAAAAAATAACAGATAATATTGTTGTGTTTTGTACAATTTTTTTGCATTTTAAAGCAAGAACACACTGAAAAGATCACTGTAAAATATTATGAGGAAAGACTTACACATGTACAAAATTTAAGATACACTTAAGAAATTGCATCTGTGAAGAGAATTTAATGGTGCGCATTTTTTTTTTGAATCTTGCTTTATATTCAAAATCAATAGAGATTCTTTCAGTAAGCTATGGCTTCCTCCTCCAGTAAATGCAGGTTAGGGGGAGGGTTTGGCGCCATCTAACTAGTTTAAACCGCCACATTCTGTATGTGCCTGTCCCAAGTCAGGAGCCTGTAATTCAGTGGTTGTCGTTTGTTGCTGTGTATCATATTTGTTTTTCGTTCATTATTTTGTACATAAATTAGGTCGTTTGGTTTTCTCGTTTGAATTGTTTTACATTTGTCATTTCGAGGCCTGTTATAGCTGACTATGCGGTATGGGTTTTGCTCATTGTTGAAGGCTGTACAGTGACCTATAGTTGTTAATTTCTGTTTGATTTGGTCTCTTGTGGAGAGTTGTCTCATTGGCAATCATACCACATCTTCTTATTTTTATATTTTATTTATATGCAGATTGGCTTTAGAATTTTGCATAAATACCCCCCCCCCCCCCCCCCCCCCCCCCCCCCCCCTTGCCCCCGCCCCCCAATATACAATATAACTGTTTTGAATATCTTAGCTTTTTTATTTGCATTTAATAGATGTATATCATGTTTACAATATGATTTTTGTTGATGTTTTTGTATCCAAGAGATAATAGATAATTATAAGAAGTAGGTAGATATATTGTAGAGATGTAATTCCTTAACTTGTGATTCAGACATCTATCCTAACATTATAGCCATGGGATTTCCTGCAGAGAAGCTGGAGGGAGTTTACAGAAACCATATTGACGATGTTATTGAGTAAGTAAATACAAAATTTTGACTTTTTATTTTAAGGATGGGGGTCTTTTTGTCTAGCCTGCAACATTCAGAAGTGAGACATAGGGATCCTACATTTTGTTGTCTGCTTCAAACATTAATAGTAGATTTCTGACAAAATTTTCAGCATTGTTCCAATTAAAATTGTTTTTTTTTGTGTGTTTGACAAAATAAAAACTGGAAAAGGACAATGTTTGAATTAAGGCCTTCTTAAATGTTTTCTATGAGCAGATTGTTACCCCGAGAAAACATTGTCAACTGAGGCGAAGCCAAGGTTGACAATGTTTTTTGGAGGGGTACCAATCTGCTCTATCACCTCAGCTATGTGTTATTTAATTTATTACTGTGGATTCATTATTATTCGTTGGATTCCAATTTTCGTGGCTTTCGTGGGTACAGGCGAGCCACGAAATTAAATGTTCAACGAATAACAAATTTGCTATAGGCTTGTATGCAGACTTTGGCGAAACCACGAAATTAAATATCCTCGAACATGCAAGTTTTCTGTAATCCACGAAAATTGGTACACACGAAAATAAATGAATCCACAGTAGTCCCCTAGGGACGAAGTCGAAGGGGACTTTAGGTTTGCACTCTGTCCGTCTGTCTGTCCATCCGTCAGTCTGGCAAATCAGTTTTCCACACTTTTTTCTTCGTGCTTGAAGATATTGATTTGTAATTTGGTATATATATGACAAGTTACAGATCAAGTTCGAATTATGTTCCGGTCTGAAGATTTTGTGCAGAGTTATGGTCCTTGGACTTAGAAAATTCACTCAAATAATCAGTTTTCCACACTAATTTTTGTCATGAATGAAGATATTGTTTTAATAATTAGTATATAGTTTACATCATGACAAGTTACAGATCAATTTCGAATTTTGTTCTGGTCTGATGATTTTGTGCAGAGTTATGGTCCTTGGACAGAAAATTCGCTCTAATAATCAGTTTTCCACACTTTTTTCATCATGCTTGAAGATATTGACTTGATATTTGTTATATAGTTTACATCATGACAAGTTATAGATCAAGTTAGCATTTTGTTCCAGTACAATGAATTCTTAACCGGTAGGGGACTTTGTATTGCCATGCAATACTCTCAGAATACTTGTTATACTGAAAATCCTATCATTATTGTCTTTTACTGTTGAATATTAAATTTAAAGTATTTTACTATGACGTCACGTACATAACAACGTTACAGGTATTAGAAAAATCAACAGAAGTGAAGCAAAATTTTTTCATTTTCTTATTTTGACTTATTTTGAAAAAGTTCTGAGCCAAAACGTAGTAATTGAGTATTGTCTTTAATTATTTGATGTAATTTCAATTCATTGTCCTTTAGATTATCGATTTTTGATTGGTCTTCACGAGAGGGTGACATTCAAAAAATTGTCTCCTGCTCAGCAATGGGATAGAGTAAATTATCTCCCTCGTATTAGCCAATCGAAATTTGTCATTTTAACGTGAAGTATAATAATAGCTATTGTATTTATTCAACAGGACAAAAGAACTGACAAAAGTTTAAAACACCAGGTAAATTGCAAATAATTCTGTGGAAAAGTTTCATTTCTTTCACAATAAACAGAAGTTACATTTTAATAAATATGTATACAGTGTTTTGATATTTTTTACAGGTTTCTAGACACAAAGCATAAAGACCACTACAAAGTATATAATCTGTAAGTATTTAACTTCTTTATTGTACAAAAGGCCAAAAAAATAATGTATGACTGTTTTCGCCTCCTCTGTGAAGAGTTTGCCTGCCCTATCATGTTATCCCTTTCCCTATCATGTTATCACCTCCCCCATGATGTTATGTATACTGTTAATTCTGTTTAGGGCTGCTTGTTCAGGTCAACTTTGTGATCATGAAAAATTGTCAAAATATTGATTGACATGGTATAGCATGTGCAGACTGACTTACATACTAGTATTTTTATTTTCGTCCTAAAGAACACTTGTCTTTTTAGGTCAAAATTGCATAATTTAAAAAAAATGTTTCAGAACTTCAGTGCATTAACTTTTAGATGATCTCAAACTACATTGCATCACTGTTACATGAACTTAAAAATGTACATGTGTTATTGACTATGAAGTATGTCTCCTAAATACCCATCGTTCTACTTCTCTCATAGGTACAAAGTTATGTAGGGGTCTTCAGGGGTCGAGTGGTCTAAGTAGATCAACTACAATGATCACTAGCATGTCAACATTGAGGTTGTGACTTTGAACCTGGCTTTTGGCAAAGTGTGTTTTGACTCCAATCTTGATTGACTGAGAGTGACAGTTTTTATGCCCCTGTCGTAGCGGAGGGGGCATTAAGTTTTACACTTTGTCCGTCTGTACGTACGTATGTACGTCCCAAAGTTTGTTTCCGTTCTCTAACTTTAGTTTGCCTCTACTAAATGATATGAAACTTATACACAATGCTTATTACCACAAAACACAGATCAAGTTTGAATTTTTGTGGTGTCACTTTAACCGTTCTAGAGTTATGCCCCTTTACAAATGGAAAAATTGCTGAATTTTTGTTTTCCATTCTCTAACTTTAGTTTGCCTCAACCAAATTTTATAAAACTTATTACCACAAAACTCAGATCAAGTTCAAATTTGGGTAGCGTCACTTTTACCGTTCTTCAGTTATGTCCCTTTATAACTTTATATGATATGCAAGTGGGGGCATCATCTGTGTCCCATGGACACATTCCTCATTTATCTTACCAAAGGTTGGCTCTGACTTTCCAAATCCATAAAAACTAGCCTCCATAATATAAGCAAGAGTGCTGAAAGTGGTGTTAAACACTTAACAATCAATCAATCAATCAAAGTAAGGTATTGCTCTAACATTTTATTATGTTTATGTACCCCTTTATTTTTATGTCCCTGACGTAGCAGAGGGGGCAATAAGTTTTACCCTTGTCTGTCCGTCTGTATGTCCCAAATTGGTTTCCGTTCTCTAACTTTAGTTTGCCTCAACCAAATGTTATGAAACTTACACAATGCTTATGACCACAAAATACAGATCAAGTTTGAATTTTGGTGGTGTCACTTTTACTGTTCTTCAGTTATGTCCCTTTATAACTTTATATAATATGCAAGCGGGGGTATCATCTGTGTCCCATGGACACATTCCCCATTTATTTATTCAAGTGTTCCTTTCAATTGATTATTTTTATTTTATTCTGGTACACTTTAATGTCATTTATATATATTTACCTCTCATACCGGTATGCCCATTTTAAGGAAATATATGAAAAAATAAATAAATATAACTTTCTTTCGGGTTCAGATAAAACTTGAAAGCTTCTTTTGATAGGTATAGGATTTCAAAGAAGTTGTCAAACAGATATTGAAACAGTAAATGTATAATTAAAGTGAACAAGGAAGAATCGTTTATATTTTGAAGTACTTTTGTAGGAAATAAAAAAGGAAGAATTACTTCCTAAGTAACCACATGTTACCATAACACACCTTTTCAATATATAAGTACATGTACATTTATAGGTCAAATTAGATTTGAAGATTTTATTTAATTAGAATATGAATAAATTTTTTTAGGGTTGTTTTTTACTTCCTGGTTGTCAGTGAAACATGTCTCACACTTTAAATCATCAAAATCCCGAAGCCAGAAAAAAAGTGCTTACTGAGCAAGCTACAGGTCCACATGTTCATGGTTAAGTGAGGACTGAAATCTGTCAAAACTTTTAAGATGGCCTAAATTCCCAAATGGTCATACATGTACTATGGACAAGTACTAATAGTTGGGACTGTTTTATAAACTCTGTTAAAGACTTATTTTGCAAAAAATAGTCAAAATCAGATTATTCATGCATACTCATTCAGGACATATTTTTAAAATTATCCAAAAGTTAGAAATTAATTACTTTCACTTTTGAATTGAAAAGAATTAAAAAAAATATAAAGAAAAAGACCTTAAAAGTTGGTTATTCTTTCCTCAACACAACAGAAATAATCCTATGTCCACAAAATTCATGATGACAACTTCAATTACAAATATATAGACCTCAGAACACCTTAATTGTATGTCATTACTACATGTACTATGATAAAGTATTGGCCCACCCACATGGCATACATTATAAATTGTAACCTTTGAGAAAGTCCCTTGTAAGAGAGCTAAAGGGAGAAACTTTTGATCTAGTCCCCAGCTGAAGATTTGTGGGTAAGATAAGTTTAGGGAAATTTTTTGAGTTGACCGAAATCGATTTGATTTTTCTTGTTAATTGAGAGGAAATAGACGAGTGATGTGCCGAAATCAACATGAAAATTAGCACAGGATATCCTTTGATTATGTAAACTAACCATCTGATTTAAGTTACGGATAATGACATATTTGTACATTTCTGTTAATGTAGATTTCGCCAATCAGTTTTCCTAGGATAAGTTTAAATAATTACCCAATTTAAGTCATGGATAATGATGACATATTTATACATTTCTGTTAAATGTAGATTTCACAATATTGTTTTCCTATGATTAGTTTAAATAACCACCTGATTTAAGACATGGATAATGACATATTTTTACATGTATGTAATTGTAGTTTTTGGGCCTCATTTTTATGTATATTGGTCAAGTTCCAGATATGTTAATGTTCTGACTGACCTCAGAAATAACTGGGTCATGAACTCATCAATAGAATTGTACATGTATATTGCCAAGCACATATTGTTTTAAAACTTCAAGATTTTAATGGAAGTTATTTCCCTGTTTTGTTAGTTTTATGTTTATATAAACAGTTGCATATCCACACCAATGTCATTCAAGGTTAAGTACTTTGTATGACCATTTTTTTTTAAAGGACATTTCTCTGTGAACTTTATATTATTTATCTGTTCAAATTAAAAGGGAAGTAACAGAGTAATAAAGTGACTAAACATACACTGACTATTACCTTGTCACATGTTCATATATATATGTTTCAAGTCAGGAATTTCGTCAATGGTTGCCTCTACATCTTATTGTTTATATCCTTTGGGGAGGGGGCTAGCTGGCACACATGTGGCATGTGTGTTTGCCTCCAATCTTAATTGACTAGGATTGTCAGTTTTCCTAGCCAAAGGTTGTGGTTCTCTCAGGGCAATCTTGCTTCCTCCACCAATAAAAACTGACAACCACGATATAGCCAACAGTGCTGAAAGTGGTGTTAAATACCAACAATCAAGCAATCATTCCTTTTGGGAATTGCAGATCTACATGTACACACGTATCATAGTCTCGGTTATATTTATTCAACTTTTTTTAGACCCGGGTCCATTTAAAGTATGACATACATATATGTCTTTGTCATTAGGTTACTGCATCATTCACATATATACCCAACATCTCCATGATTATTTCAAATGTAAAATATAATTCCAGAATCTTTCAAGTCCAAATTTTCGCTCATTTTACTGAAGGCATTTTTACTGCAAAATTTATCCTACACAGCATTTCACTATCCATTTAAATGCATTATACAAGGTGGTGTTAAAGGCTTCACTGACGTTAGGATGAAGAACAGCAATACTTTATAGTACTGTTCCATTGCTTGTGGTTTTGACAAAAGTGTATAGGGTTTGATACCCTCCTTTCCATCATACATGTACGTTCATGGTACAATTGTTCTGCGCTAGTACATGTAGTAAATAAAAAAAATTTGAAAAAAAAATTTAATGGTGTATGATGCTCTTTCAGTTGGATAGGTTTGGTGGGCTTCGTATTGCTCAATATTTAGTTTTCTGTGTAACATTTTATAATCTTTTTTTTTTTGTCTTTTTGTTCATTTACTTTTTTGATGTGGTGTCATCTGTTTTATTTTTGGACTTACTATTTTTGATTTCTTCTTAAGTATCTATTCTATTTTTCTTTTTTTATATACAAATTATATTTTTGATAGAAAAAATTTAAATCTTTTATAATGCACAGTTTTTATAAGGATTTTAATGGTAAGTTAAATCGATTATGAAATCATTCTAAAATCAGCCAGCTTCACAAGACTAAGGTGCCACTTTAAAATCAACGCTGCATTTCTATTAACAAAAAGAAATCAAAGTGTTGTGCTTAGGAGTCAAGGATGTACATCTAGAACTGCATTATTCATGAGTTATTATACAACTCTGTCTTTGATGTATGATAATATTACATTTGTTTTAAAGTTTTTTTTCCAGGAAAAAGGATGACATTTCCCTTTTATATTTCTCACTAAATTAGAAAGGCAATTCAAGGGTCACCCCACTTTATAATTTTGAGGAATAGTGACGTTTCCCTGACAGCTGAACAGGAAGAAGTGAAGACCCAACAAGGAGATTTTAGGAAAGAGTGAGGAATCTTAATGAAGTTTTTCACTTGATAAATTTGCCAACATTACAAATTTTTTTTATTATAAGGACACTTTTCCATGATAAATAATGAAATTTACCTAATTAAATTGCCCTTTGTCTTGTACAAAAAGTTGTAATTGCCCTATACCTCTCAATTTTTTTTATTTTTGATTGATGCAATCTGCCTTCAATGGACATAGTTGTTAGGAACTTATTCAAAAAAAGAAAAAGTTGAAGATGTTCTTTGAGGTTCTTTAACATGAGATTAAAAGTCTTGTTATATAAAGGCAAGGTATAAACAGCTGTTCTTTGACATGTGTGAACTATTTCTCAATAGATAACTAGAAATCCACATG